AGCCTCTGCCCTTGTTTCTTTCTCATATCTTGAAAAAGATTGGTGTTCTTTAATTTTTATTTTTTTTTTTGGAAACATTTCCTTGAATGTGCTTTCTTCCTAATTAAATTTGTGCTTTATGAATATTTTAATAACATTTTCGTATTTTTAATGTAAAATTTTTATATGAAACTTATCATATAACAAAATTTTTAAACTAATATATTTATAATTTGGACAAGTTATCATTTTTACTGTTATTTTATGTAAGATTTTATGATATATAAATAAGGAAAATGTTAAAGTTTGTTACATGATGATTTCGTCAATATTTTTTACCATTGATTGTACATGTGATATGTAGTGTAGTTAACATACGGTAATAAAAATGATAAAAGGGACTGTAGTCATTCCTAGGAAATTTGAATTGAAATTTGTTCTATGCACACGTATTCTTGCTATCTACGTGGATCGATTATAAAAGTATTAGTTTTCAGAATTTGACAAATTACACCTCATTTTGTTCGTCTCGTCATGAGCTTTAAAAGACCTAAATCAATTTTAATGATTAAATTTTAATGATTAATTTAAAATTTATCATTAATTGAGTTAAAAACTCTTTTGTGTCATGTTAGGATTTTTAATTGATGATGCAAATTGTCAGTTTCGATTACATTGAGAGATAAATTGTCAAAAAGTAAATTTTGTATGGCAAACTCTAAAAAAAGTGGTAACTTTGGGATGTTAAATCTTATAATGTTTGTCAGAGCGGCCCCGACTTGTCACTCCGGTTTATTGTGCGACACGACAAGGTGAACAGTGCATGAATAGTGTTAGATTATTAAGTTTACTATAAATAGTTGATGACTCTCATTTAATAAGGGTTGTTGATCTCTCTACCAGCTCTCTATCTACATTTATTTGGTAGAAAAGCTTGTAATTATTTCAAAGTATGACGAAAGAGCCGACTTCAATTAAAGTGTTGAACTCGTAATTAAGTAATGAAAGTCTGCTTATTTCATAAACTCTTATTCTATCCTTATCTTATCACTCTTAAGTTTTTTCTTAACCGTTGATCAATTCTGATCATCAACATTTTAGCGCTACAAAAAGGGTCCTATAAATTTAGAAAAAAAAAAAGGGTCCTATAAATTACTTGTTGTCATTTTTCGATTTTGTGGAACACCACATCTGACTCTATCTTTTTCTCATTTTTTCTCAAAACCCATCAAAAATGATTTCATCTGGTCAAAATAAATACAATTAGATTACATCCACAAAATAAAATACAAATGAATGATTCTATTTGCGTTGGGGTAAATTGCACCAAACCCCCCTGTAATATACTAAATTTACGCGTTTTCCCTTCGTAATTTAAAAATTGCGTCAAACTCCCTCCTATTATATATCTGCCTGCACACTCTCCCTTTGATGTTAACACCGTCACTTTACTACTGACGGTGTTACTTTTTTTCGTCAAATTTACCATTATACCCTTACTTTATTTACCATTATGCCATTATACCTTTATTTTATCACTGAATTTACCATTATGTCATTACTTTATCACTGAATTTACTATTATGCCATTACTGTCAAATAATATATATATATATATTCTAAATTATATATAAATACGTCATATATACATATATAATATATAAATACGTTATATATATATACGGTTATTATATATATAATATATATGT